GTTCCCTCTTTCCAACCCACTCTCCCTCTATGCTCCCAGTATCGCCACTCAGACCACTGGTCCTGAAGGGATCATCCGCCCTGGATTCCCTGTGTTTCCAAGAGCCTAGAAACTTTACAGCAATTTGACAGTATAATTTTTACATGCTAATCAAATCATTAAACATTGTGCTTGTATTTTGTCTTCATTTTTCTAGAAAGTCATTCTTAACTGTATTGGACAAAAGTAGTGGTTCATGATGAATTGGGAATTTAAAACCAACAATGTTTCCTTCATCACAGATGGTTTGAGAAATAACAGTATAAAATCAAAGGGCATTAAGAGTTCAGAAAGGAGCCCTGAGGGCACCGCAGTGAAGTGCTCGGCTGCCAACTGACAGGTCAGTGGTTCAAACCCACACAGTAGCTCCACGGGAAAAACACCTCGCGATCCACTTCGGTAAAGATTAAAAACGAGCTCACTGCCATCGAGTCAATTCTGACTCATGGTGACCACACAGGGCAGCACAGTGCCCCCCGGCTCTCCAGGACTGTAACTCTGTATGAGAATAGAAAGCCTCATCTTTCTCCTGAGGAGCTGCCTAGAGGTCTCTGAACTGCTGACCTTGAGGTTCGCAGCTCAATGTGCAACCACTATGCCACCAGAACCCCTCTGTAAAGATTATTCTAGAAGACCCTATAAGGCAATTCTACTCTGCCATAGGGTGTTGCTGCGAATCAGCATTGACTTGACGGTGTCTAAGAAATACCAACAGGAGCCAAAGAAAGGAAAGCGTCAATGTAGCACAGAGCTACAAGACCAAAAGAGAGCCTTGGAAAATCTGGCAGCACTGTTATTTCAAGTTTCTTGGGAAGCTTGGCATGAACAAAAGCATGTAATTACTGCCCAACTCCATTAAAGCCGGTTTGAAACACCTCACATATATGTACAAGCCTGAAGAGAGAGGTTTCTAGTTTATCCACTTAAACCCTCATAGCATTTATTTCTAGGAACCAAGAAGGACTTAGCCAATTTTAAAACGAGAAAAGGTCAACTGATTCTTGTTATACATAAATTTAAAAAAAAATCAATTCTTACTTCAAGAGCAAGAAATGCATAGGTCATCTCATCATTTGTTTTTTCTTTAGAAGGACAGCAGGGAAATGTTGCCAATCATGGGCCCAACAAGCAGAGACAAAGATAAAAGTATCTAATCATTATCATCCCATCGCCATGGTGACTCTAAAATGCTGCACAGCGATGACCCGATACTCTTTCCGATACACTGCTCAACTGGGAGCGGTGGGCAGACACTTCGTGTATCGTCATATTTTATTTTCAAATGCATGTCGTTAATTTGTTTGTGGGGTGGGCGGTGCTTTTCCTTCTTCAGGTTGGAGCATCTTACCACCTGAGTCCATAAACGCCCTGGCCACAAGGAATGACATGATTCAAAGGCATCCC